AGGATCACAGAAAATCTTGTTTTCTTATTCATATAATCAGTATATTTGCATACCATAACCTATGATTGAGAGCAATATTTATTTACATAGTTTCTTAGATAATTTTAAAATATTAACCAGATTGTAAACTTCTTTATATTATACCTATTGGTACATAGACCATCATATTCAAGCAATAAAGCAGCACATTACATCAATGTAGAAGCATAGTCAGTCAAAATAGTATCACATTCAATTAAAATATCATCTCTCTCAAATAAAATAGCATCACTTTAAATCAAAACAGCACCACATTCAACAAAAAAAACCCCAACACATTGAGTTATAATAGTATTACATTCCATCAAAATAGCAGCATAATCAATCAATATAGCATCACATTCAATTTAAAAAGCATCACATTAAATTAAAATAGCATCACATTCTATTAAAACAGCAGTACATTCAATTATAATAGTATCATATTTAATAAAATGTATAACATTCAATCAAATAGCATTTCTTTCAATTAAAATAGCATTATATTCAATCAAAATAACATTACATTAATTCAAAATAGCATCACACTCACTCAATCAAAATAGCATATTCATTCAAAACATAATCACACTCAATTCAAATAACTTCATATTCAATTAACATTGTATTACATTCAATCAAAATAGCATCACACTTAATCAATATAGCATCAGAATTAATAAGAAGAACATTACATTCAGTTAAAATAGCATTACGTTTTATCCAAATATCATCATATTCTGTATAGTAAAATAGATTTCATTCAATCTAAATAGCATCACATTCGGTTAAAAAAAGCATTAAACTAAATCTAAATTAAATACCACCATTCAGTAAAACAGTATTACATTTAATTAAATAGCATCACATTCAGTTTAAAAAGCATTAAATTCAATCTAAATACCATCAGATTCAGTTTAAAAAAAAAGTTCAATCTGAATACCATCACATTCACAAAAATAGTATTATATTTAATCTAAATGGCATCACATTAAGTTGAACAACATGATTTCAAGAGCATGAATCACTCACCTGTAATTTTTTGCTTAAATTTTCCATCAATGATTATGTTTGCTTTTCAATATATATTAATGAGTGGCTTAAAAATTCCATTGAAATTTTCTTTGTATCTGTCTTTTTCTTCAAAAGCAAAATAATGCATTTTACCCCTATGTTCCATTTTAGCCATAGTGGCTATGTTTCTTGACGTACAAGGAAATAAAATACAAAATTTATACTATATACTTTGAAACTCATTCAGCCCAAGTTTGGCTGAAATTGATTGAGCAGTTTCAAAGGAGAAGATGTTTTAAAGCAAGCAAACTTTAACTAGATGAACAACTTGTGAAAAATTTAAAGGGCAATAACTCCTTAAGAGGTCAATTGACGTTTTGGTAATATAAACTTATTTGTAGATCTTACTTTGCTGAACATTTTTGTTGTTTACATTTTATTTTTATCATTAATAATATTCGAGATAGTAACCAAAAACTACAAAATTTCATTAAAATTACCAATTTAGTGGCAGCAACCCAAAAATGGGTTGTTAGATTCATCTGAAAATTTTAGGGCTGGCAGAACTTGATCTAATGAACATTTTTATTTACCATCAATTTGCTCTAAATACTTGTTTGAGATATAAGCCAAAAACTGCATTTTACCTCTATGTTCTATTTTTAGCCATGGCGGCCATGTTTTTTGACAAATCAGAAAATAAAACACAAACTTTATTCTAGATACCCTAAGGATCATTCAGCTTAAGTTTGGTTGGAATTGGTTCTGTAGTTTCAGAGAAGAAGATGTTTGAAATAGTTTACACCAGACAGACGCCTAGTGATGGCAAAAGATCACAGTTCCTTCGGAACGGTGGTCTAAAAAGCATCATATAATCTAAATAGCATTACATTCATTAAAACAGTATAACATTCAATCTAAATAGCATCACATTCAGTTTAAAAAGCATCAAATTCAATCTAAATACCATCACATTTACAAAAAAAGTATTACATTCAATCTTAATAGCATCACATTTAGTTGGGAAGCCATTAAATTCAATCTAAACACCATCACATTCAGTAAAATAATATAACATTCAATCTAAACACCATCACATTCAGTAAAATAATATAACATTCAATCTAAATACCATCACATTCAGTAAAATAATATAACATTCAATCTAAACACCATCACATTCAGTAAAATAATATAACATTCAATCTAAACACCATCACATTCAGTAAAATAATATAACATTCAATCTAAATACCATCACATTCAGTAAAATGGAATCATTAGTACAAAATAGTATCTGTCATTTGCAGTATAAATACTTTTGTTTTTACAATATATAATGTGAAATAACTTGTGTTACACTGACACAGAATTGATCTTAAGATAAGACTGTTGGTATTATCTAAATATATCACAAAACAACATCTTAAAAAGCATAAGTTATGAGTATATGTAGTTTTTATTTTATTATTTACTTTACCCATTATATAAAACTAACATGTTTTTATTTTTCAGGGGAAGAGAATTCAGAAAAAGTTTTTCAGAATTAGTAATTCTAAAATCTTTCTTCAACAACATCCCAATAGCATGTTTAAGTGGAACACTTACAGGAAAACATATAAATGCTTTATCAAAGCAGTTGCTTATTAGCAATTTTAAAGTCATTTCCGTCAGTCCTGAAAAGACTAATTTAAAACTCATAGTATGTGAAAAGATTAAAGGCAGCTGTTATGAAAAAATAGAAAACATATACAAGAGTCAAATTGACCAGTTAGTTGTTGAGGGAAATAATTTTCCTGTTACTTTAATGTTTATGCCAATGGAATACATTGCTCATGCTATGAGTTATGCTTATCATATCTTTGGTGGAGTAAACAAAATTACAGTAAATAATGCTGTTTTTGGTTGCCTGTATTCGAATCAAGATCCTGAAGTTATGAGGTGTATTATAACTGATCTCACGAGTGTTCAGCCTCGGTTCAGGCTTGTTTTCACAACAACAGTAGTTGGTATGGGTTTTGACCCTCCCTCAGTTACCCAGGTAATACATTGCAAACCTCCAACTAGTGTAACAAATTACCTTCAGGAAATTGGAAGAGCTGGAAGGAGAGGTCAAATGTCCACTGCCACTTTATACTTTACAAATATGGACTTAGCAAAAAACCTGCCAGGAATACAAGATGACATTATATGCTATTGTAGGCATAAAGCCTGTTACCGAGAATGTCTGTTAGAAATTTTTGGATACAAAAAATCAAGTAGTAGTCCTGAAGGTTGTTTGTGTTGTAGTTTTTGTTCATTAGAGTGTAGGTGTGAAAATTGTCAGTTGGTAAGAGTTGTTGATGAAATGAACTTGTAAAAACATGTTGGTCAAGATAAATTTAAGGTGGCTCTGGGAAATTATAAGTTAAATTAGTAGTACAAATCACTTTAACTGTTAAAACCTTTAAAGTATGGGGCCTGGTGGAAAATCAAATGGTAACTCTAAGAGTAATGTTTATTTGTATTGAAATGATAGGGGTAATAGATGCATAAAAAATTTGAAAACAAATGAAACAAATAAAAAGAAGGTGACATTTCTAAAATCATTCCAAATTTGTAACATTTTGTTAACTTTTACAACAAACTGAAATACACATTAATAGTTTTTTAGATGTGTTTTTATGATTTTTTCACATTAATTCTGAGAATTTATATTTTGGAGGAAAGGGGAGATAATTGGCAGGTGAAATAAGTTATCTACATCCAATTATTAAATTTGCATGGTTATCAATGTCAGTGATAACATATAACATTATAAGGCTATAATATATAGTAATAGATAACAAATTCAATAAATATTCCATCTATGATCAATATGGAAAGTAGGAAAAACAAAAACTAGCAATAACTACAATGTTCAGCAGTTAACAAGACATGAAAGGATAATTGACTATACTGATTGTACAGGGATTTCTCCCGACCATTTCATTAAAAGGAATGTATTACAGGTTTACAGTGTATAACCTTAATTCATTACTGTAACTGTGTATAAATTGTAACTTTTGAATAAGTCACTTTCCAACAACTACATAAGTTAATGATAAGTATTCATGCCTCTTTATCATGTAAGATTCACTCCTGAATTTAACTTCTTTCAACATCTTGCGGATGATCTTGCACTGGGTTGGCACTGAAATTACAAACACCAATATTTTCATTCAAAAATGTGTAATTTATATCCTTGTGTTTGTACATGTACAATGTAATATAAATGAAAGCAATATAGAATATAAATGATACTTTTACATGAATATTAACTGCCATTTAAGTGTAGCTCACAGTGACTTACTCCAGGTTCTGTATTTCTCATTGTGTTTACCCTTCAATGGAAATAACAATATCTTTGAATAAAAAAGTAACAGCTTGAATTGTTTTGAATGAAAAATTATGTTTAAAGATCTAAGTAATCATCAAAACAATAACAGTACACTGAAAACAAAATATAAACACTTTTGCAATCAAGGTTGAACAAAAACATGACTTAGCAATTCCATTATCTCTTCTATGATGACTTCCTTACAGATAAATATATTGCATCTGTGTTTTTTGTTCAGTCACATTGCATTGACTGTATATTCATTTGTGATATACAGTTGCTTACCGTATAGCGCCTTGCTTATGAGGTTGACTGGGTGTTTCCATAAAATTTGATAAATGACGTCAATAAAGAATAAAAGTTTGCGCAAATCTTTATGTTTCATGCTCCAATTTAAAAAAATATTTATATTTTATTTGGAACAGTTTTGTTATTTGCAGTATATAAAGAATTTTATTTTTCCTATGCTAAAAACAAGATATAAATGCTCGACCAACCTCATTATCTACCGGTTTGTAAGCCATGTACAAATAAAATTTAAATTTCTAGGCAATGTATGGTTACTTTATATTTATTATCAATACCATTAATTTAGTAGAATTTACCTGGATCAAAGAGGAATATCTGGCATTTCCTCTTCATCCTCTTCATTATCAGTACCAACATTTGCTGTGTCATCGTCATCTTCCTCATTATCTACAGAAATATATCCTCTACCCACCCTACCTAGCATCACATCCAAGTCAATGTCCATTTTGGTTAGATTTATATTAGAACATGGTTGAGAAGGTAAGTTACGGAAAGCACATTTTCTACCATTAGTAATTAGAAACGGTCTTATTTTTCTAAGACTTTCACTCACAACTTTCATATCCTCTGTTGAAATAACTTTGCTGTGTCTGGAGGCTTTTTTGGAAATGTTGTGTTCTGCGTCAAAATTCATACATATTTTAGCAATGACTGGTGCTGCTGCAGTAACAGCAGAAATAGCTGTTTCACTTTTATTTGCACCAAGACCCCTAATCAACTCTTTCTGATTTCTTACTGAATGCTCCTGTACCAAGTCAGCCTCAATATTATTGCCTTGTCCACCTCTCAAATTAACCATACTGCCTTCCAACACTCTAAGTTTGTCCAATGGAGAAAGAAAACAGCTGACTTTAGTTATGTAGTCAACACATTCGAATAAGTATTTGGAAAGGCAAGAATGTGCATAAAAAATTGGGATGCACACTTTAAGGTTTGGAATGATTCTGGAAATGTCACCTTCTTTTATAGTGTCTTCCATTTGTAGATAATGTAAGCCCCTAATTGTTAAATTGGTACTATAATTATACAATTCATCATTGCTTTCTGATGGTACCCCTGTCCGCATAACATCGAATTTGTCAAGTACTTCGCTTGTCAATTCCCTCATTTTCTGTTCTTTGGTGAGTCTGCTTGCCTTGCAGATATTTTGTGGATACGGGGTATTATCTTCTAAATTAAGGTTAAACAGTTCAAATGCCTGTTCACAAATCAGCTCCCTTACAATCAGTTTAAAGAATTCGCTATGGGAATTAAAGTGACCTTTAACTTTGCCATTTACATCAGTCTTCTTCAGTCTATTTCTCCAAAATGCTAAGGTACCTAATTTGTCCAGAGAATCCATCTTGTAAAGTGCTTTAAATGTTTTCTGTCAAATAAAATTGGAAATATATAGTTATATTAAATTACAGATGGTGTAGCATTCTACTGTTTTCATTGGATATGGAGATCATGCGTTTCAAAGGTTATTTTACGTATCTGACGCGTTGCTTCTATTTTTACTTATTTTGACGCTATGTTTCTATTTATATGTATATTGATGGTCAATATAAAAAAAATCTTGCTTATATAGTTTATATTTATGACGTCATGATGTCACACATAACAACCACGGAGGAAGTGCCGCATCTGAAAAGAAAATTTGCAAGTTTATCAGGAGATTTCAAGAATGTTATGTTAAATGCAGACGATAAGAATACAAGAATGCTAATGCAACAAGCTATGAAGTTATTGAAACAAATTGATATTTTCAATAACATGTTTAAGTTCTTGCAAAATACAATTGAAAAATACACAGAAAGAACATTGAATGTCATTTTTCTAATCCATTATTTACATATGTAATATATAAATTAAGGACTTTTACTCAGTCAATACATTATATATGGGCCTGTTAGATTATATTGACACTCGGACTTCATCCTCGGTCCATATAATCTGAACAGGTTCATATATAATGTATTGACCTCATTAAAAGTCCATAATTGATAAACATACTTTATCAAAGTCTTTGTCTACAAATGTATCATCATGTTTGAGGATTATGTACCCATGTGTTGATTCAATGCTAAACATATGGAATTTTTATAGAAAATCCACGACGTTTTCCCTTGTACTCTCATATTTGGCAATTTGGTACTTGATAGATAGAGGATTATTGCATGCAGTGCTAGCAATGATTTCCTTAAAATAAGTTTGAAAATTTAGATGTAAGTTGAAAATGAACTGAGAAAGCCATGTCTAAAAAATAAAAAGATCAGCAGACAAAGTCACAAACAACGTACAGTACACAAAACATATTACACAGACAACATAAGACTTCAAGTGTAATTTTACTCTTTGTCAGTGGGTTGCTGTCTCATCCCTGGATAACCCACATCTCCTTTTATTCATATATCAATTTAATTAGTGCAATTCCATAACAACCAAGATTATCTTACTAAATGATTTAGCACTGAATTATAATAAACATTGACAAGACAAAATCTGACCCCATTATTTGAGGTAATATTTGGCCAAATCATCCCTAATTATGACTGAATCCTAAACTAAAATGATATTTTATTCATACAAACTTCTAAATAATCTTGTTTAAGATGCCACAGCTCAATAACTACTGGTCTCAAATGTTCAAGTCTTCCCGATGCTGTTGGAGACATGAGACGTAGGTTTTTTGCACCTTCAAATCTGACTTTGGTCAGTTGGTCACCAGATGTTATAACTCCAAATTTATCTAATATTTCAACTGTTCCTGAACAAAAATATAGAACAACTGTACATTTTTGTTTTTCGTTTAATTTTTAGTACATAAATCAGGCCAGAAGTTTTCTAGTTTGATATGTTTTACATAATTTTGTCATTTTGCTGCCTTTTACAGCTGACTATGTGGTCTGGGCTTTTTCATTGTTGAAGGTCATACGATAAATTATATTGCTTAATTTCTGTTTCTCTAATTTGTGTGCTTTTTTCACATTTCCTGAGTGGTGTGAGAAAAATATTTCTCATCACTAGTGAAATATCTATTCTCAGCAAATGACGTTTAATTTTCTTAATTTCTTCTGAATTTCCTATTGTGACGTCATGAAAAAAGATGTCCATGCCTGATGATGTCACATATAAATACAACACAACTTTCTGAAAATGTTTGAAAAGGAAGGTTAACATCATTAGAGAAACAGATTCCACCACTATAACTCATGTATTAAGATATTTCTACACTCTCAAGAGTTGAATTTAACTGTCTCGAGTGGAGAAGTATTGTAACAAACTAGTTGCAGTTATGGAATCTATATGTCATTTGGTTTCTTGTGAAAAGTTGTCTCGTTGGAAATCACACCACATGATGTCATCTTCTATTTTATAATGTCTCAATATATAATTTAACCTATATTTGTACAGAATGAGGATTTTATGACAATTTCAAGGTTTCATGTTTTGAGCTGAAAACAAATCAAAATGTGTAAAAAATTGTTAATATTGCAACAATTTCAATTTTGAAAACGAACAACTTAAACATTTAGGGAATATGTGGTTTTTCAACTATTCACTTCATCAAAATAAAAAAAGTTTTTTACAGTCAATGCTAAACAAAGTTAGTTCATCCAATTAATTATTTTGTGTGATAAATTTATCATTTTCACAGTATACAGAAGTCAGTGATATGAAAATAGTCTATGAGACGTGGAGAGTTGTCTGATTGGCAATCATACCACATCTTCTTTTTTATATGTATGGTATAACACTAACAGTAATTAAATGACATAATGTTTGTGTCCAGAAAAAGATCATTATGACTGACAGCAACAAACCATGGGATTCCTGAAATGTTTTTTGAAGCAATTTCTCATATGAATCCATGACATCAAGAATGTCTTCATATTTAGCCTCATTCTTATGTTGGATGGGTAACTGGAAAACTTGGCTCTTTTGGGACATCCCAGCACTATAGCTATGGCTCATGTGTACTGGTACCACTGTTGTCATCCATTTGAACTGATCCATTGAACTCAAAATTCTTGCAATCTGAAATCAATTAGCTTTCTCCTCAACTTTTTACCACATGTAAAAACTTCAACATTCATTCTAGTGTAAATAATATTAGATAAGTTTTTCAAGATAAACAAGAAATTCATTATACTTTTAATACAGTCTATTCACTAATCAATGTAACCCGAATAATTCAGTCGTTATATTCCGCTGATCTACGAAGGCTACATTAACGCCTGAACGTCTTCCTCGATAAAGACCGTCAACCGGAAAATTCACACCGCTATGCAATATGGGAATTTTGATTTAAGTTGGCAGCTAAAGAAGGAGGAGTTCCGGATGTTAATTGATGTTAAATGATGTAAACTGATGTTAATTGATGTTAATTAATTATTATCGGATTTGTGTTAATTGAACACACGTGTTTGGTTAGACAATTACAAGACAGTTGCGCAGACTCATTATCCTGATGGCCACCGATTGGCTCTCTCTCACAGAGAGCAGGCGACGCGGCCAATGATCATAAGGAGTTCAAGCCCTCGTGTGGGAGAAAATCGGACACGGAAAGGGCTTGAATTATTCGAGTTATAATCAATGAAGAATTAACTTATATTAAATATTAATGTCAGTCAGTCAAGAGTTTGTGGTATACAATGATAGAACCAAAATTTCCAAACAATATTTCAAATTTTCATAACTTGTAAAGAAATCCAGTTTTATTAAAAAAGTTTTTTGTCTCCTCATTTCTTCAAAAGTTTAATAAGTCATTTTCTTCAAGTTGTTAAACATAATTACAAAGGCTCACTGAGACCAAACACACAAAATGTAAATGAACAGTGCTTTTTATGCTGTTCTTCATCTCAAAGTCACAGTGAACCTGCTTCACAGATTATTAAACATTTTTCTATTTCACAAGTTGCAAGCTCTAAGTAAAGCTGAGTTGTTTTCATGCAATCTTCAAGTATAAACTAAAATACCATAGAATTTAACCTTTTGAAAATTTGTATAGGAAATATTCAGCTCTTTAGATTATCAATACATAAAATATATAGGAAATTATAAAATGATTTGTTATAATATTCCAAAAGGTTAATTTCTATTAATAACGGCTAAATGTTATAAGTAGCATTGTACTTTTTCTGGTCTCCCGTTGGGATCGATCCAACTTACACTTATAAGTGTATTCTCCTGATAAAGACTCTGTTTGTACAATTATCATGCTAGTGCTAAAGCTTGGTAAGGCAATATATAAATGCAGTGCAAGTGTTAAGCAGCAATTATAAGCTAGCTGAATTCTACTATTTCTACAAAACTGACTAAACTAATGTAAATTCAGATAATGATGGTGTTATTTTAACTTAAAATTAAAAATTGAAACAAACATTCCAGTTTTGTATGTAATATTCTTTTGCATCCACATTTAAGAATTACAGAAATAAATTTTCTATTAAGGTAATTAATTTAAAACTCTGAATTTACATATAATTTGAAAGAGCAATTAAGCTAACAGGAAGGACAAAAAGCCACCACCATTAATGTAAGCATGTTATGTATGTTAATTAAAAGCTAATATACATCTAAGCATTTTTGTAAGCAGGAAGGCATGCATGCTTTTATATACTTACCATTTCAAACTGCTTGTCACCACAATGAGATAAAAGAAGGAATCCAATAAAGTTGTGTATAAATAAAACCAAAAAGTTTTTTTTCTAAAATTAAAGAAGGATTAACTTTACAAAACAATTTCAACATTATTTATCAATTACTTAATATTCATCCACTTAAAATATTACCAGTATTGAATATGAATATTTCATGTTGTCAATTTCTGCCTCTGTTAGTTTTAAAACATCTCCATTAACTGCTGGAACAGCAGGGGTTCTGTTGTCCATATCTACAGATGATAACCTGCTAGTTAAGGCATTTGAGGCAAATAAATGCATATCTGTATTTCCTTTATCTATTGATACACAACGACTTTTAATGTATATGTCCAGATTGTCGCCGGTAATTTTTAGCAGTGGCTTTTCCTTCAAATAATCACACAGAGCTCTATGGCTGATTTCTCCGGCCTCTTTTATCAATCTTTGCTTACTGGTTGGTGACAATGTAACACCTACTCTGTTCAATCTAGTAATCAGCTATGAAAAAAAAATATAATTTACATATTTCATTGAAATGATATAACAGTGTTATGAGCTGTCCCATAAAAGTAATAAATTAATCAAACACATTTTGGATGGAAGGCACTATTATCAAACCTTCTATGAATAAAAAATTCATTATTTATATTAATAAATTGTTCAATTTATGTTTCTACAATAACTATAATGATTTAAGTGTGCATAGAAATACCTTCTGACCCATGTATAAATAGTTCTGTACTTTTTGCTGCTAATTATTTTTAAGTAAATTGCTTTTACTTGTTGTCAATTGTTATATTTGAACAAAAAGTAGGAAAGTATTCTGACTTTTTCAGTTATATAGATATAAGTAGATGTGGTATGAGTGCCAATGAGACAACTCTCCATCCAAGTCAAAATTTATAAAAGTAAACCATTATAGGTCACAGTACGGTCTTCAACACGGAGCCTTGGCTCACACCGTACAGTAAGCTATAAAGGGCCCCCAAAATTACTAGTGTAAAACCATATGTATATGTATATGTATTTAAGTAAATATAAAATTTACCTATAAATTTTTCAAAATAAAAAATTAACTGAGTATCTAAACATTTCTTTTTTTAATGAATACCATATCTTCTGCTCGTCCCCTTATACAAATCGCTGTCATCATCCGTTGGAATGCACTCATTTCTGCATTTCTTGCAAACATAAGAATGCTGTATACTATAGCCAATGATCCAGTTATTCGACTTTTTTGCCCTTGTAGATGTTTTTCATCAAATGCAGACAGCAATATTTCCAAAAAAAATGGTGTCCTATATCATACAATAATTAAAACATGTACATGATTATATTGATAAATGATTACATTATTGAGCATTGTTAATTTAAAACAGTTACTATGATTATATTCTAAAAAATTCAAGAAACACAAATTGTGTCCTACTGAATTCAATATAGTAATCTCCCCTTGGTGATGGAAGGTTTTTTTTCTGAAAAATTTCAACACTTACAGCACTTCATTTTTTTATAGTATAATCGAAAAATTTGAAGATTGAAATTTTTAAATTGATACTTGGAAAAATGTTTTTAAACAAAAAAGTATTTTTCCAACATGCTCAATAGGAATGCTCAGAACAGGATACCTGGTATATCGTAATTCATATTGATACCTGTTTTTCATTTCCTCTATAATGGAATCGCACAATTTACTTGAATCTTCGGATAAATGCTCCATTTTCTTCCTGGTTAGTAGCAGACTTTGTTCTCCCATTCTTTTAGTGCTTACATTTTTAATTTCCTGGTTTATTAATGATCTTGCTCTTTGCATTATAAAAACGCCACTTACTCTTATATCATCTAAAATTTAATCATTGCAAATAAAAGCATTACAATTCCTTTCCAAATCTTGCATTGTCTCAATTAATGTACCTCTTTTTTGTGTTAATTACCAATAGTCTTTATTTCATTTAGTATGAGAAAGTCAATAGTGAATAAATATCATGCAGGCAGTTATATTTTGTAAATGTAGTTTTGACATAATATTTGAAGTACAACATGAACATTTCTTAAGCATAAAAATTTGTTGACAAAAAAGTATTCAAATAAATCCTGTAAATGTAAAATGTTCTAAATTCATATGCTATCCACTAGGTTAATAAGTGTCCAAATACCTGGTTCTGGCTGGTTTTTGTCATTTATTCTGATGTTTTCAACAAAAGAGTCCAATACACTTTCTTGAAATAGTTCCCTACAAGAGGGGGGTTTGGACCTGCTGTAGGCATGTTCTTCTCTTTTACTAGTTAAATTAAACCAAAATAAAGTCTATAAAAAATATAAACATGAGAAATTGAAATTTTTTTGCAAAACTTTAGAGCTATTTTCCTAACTCATGTAGTTCAAAGGTTTGGCTTGCTTTGTTTGAATAACTGTTTCCTCGAACATTATCAATAAGTTTTACAATTGCAATCAGTAGATCATTTGGGCTTTAGCTTGTATAATGCCATAGGATGCTTGTGCAAAAATTTATACAAACAAATTAGCCAGCAAGCAAACCAAACCTTTAAACTACATGCATTAGGAAAATAGCTCTAATAGAAATGAAACCTTTTCATTTTTGGAAGATTTATGAAACCATTCTGATTTGAACAAAGAACTTTACTGAAACTGTAAAAACAAAAATTTTAATTATTTGTTATGTTTAGCCTGTTTAGAGGACATGTTTTTCAACATACAATCAACAGTTACCATAGATTTCAGTTGCTGCCAGGATTTCTGTTGCTGGATGTTTGGTTTTCAGTGTAATGTTTTACTTTAAATGGTTGTCTTTTTCTCGTTTCTATTTTCGCTAAAGTGCGTTTTTTTTTTTTTTAACATTTGAATTATTATTCTACTCTCTCTCTTTATACTTCAGTTAACATCCCCTTTTTGAACAAATCATGCTAGATGAGACTATAATTTCAAATTCCGTAACTATTGGTTATAAACTCATAAGATTAGCAGTATCAAATGTAACAGGTAACTTACTCATTTGCATCGATACAAGCAGATGATCTTCTAATAATTGGTGTCTTGCTATAACCATGTTCTCTGTTGATTAATAAGTAGATTTTATTTATGGTGACGTCACACTTGAAAATAACAGTCAACAAATAAAAAAAATCAGAAAAATTTATCTTTGAAATAAGGCTCAACATTCCTTGAAATTACAAGAAGAGACAAAAAGCATTTAAGCATATGTTTAACTTTATAACAGAAAGTAGCATATCCACACATTTATAGTTGTATTTTAAGCATATTTAAGATACATTAAATAGGGCAACCATTTTTTAGTAATTAAGGCCAAATCATTATTATAGAAAATTAGGTTTCATAAATGGTATAAATAATTTGCAGTGAACATGGTTCTACATGTAGAAAATGCATTAATTTTGTTGTACTGATTAGAAAAATCAAGCAGTAACAAGTCATAATTTTATAAATATATCTTATTTTATAAAAGCATACAAGATCATAATTGGTTAAATGCAAAAAAATTTCTGATAAATCAAAACATCCAGAAAAGTTGCTTGCAAATCTATGGATAAAGAATTACTTACTCGCTTAACCCTACAGTCTTTTTAACATTGACATTTCCATGATGTACAATGCTTGCATCTAAACTGAAAATATACATATAAAGTAAAGATTTTTCTTTTAATTGTTAAACATAATTTATCAAAAAGAAAAACCAGTCTCATTGCAAGCTCAAATATCTGCCCGTCTCTTCTCTATACATATGTATATGGTTTGTTGAGAATAAAGATATACAGCAAGGCAATAATAATAATCCATCTAGAGTATGCAATTGCAAGGTTGTTTATATTGTAAATCCCTGCTGTATTTTAATTGAAATGCCATAACAACATAACTGTCTGTTGCTATTTGCATTTCCTAATACAATGTAACAACTTTAAGAGTAACACCATATGGCAGTTTGATTATCCTGGTCTAATCTGTAATATTTTTTGTGTAAATTAACTAAATATTTTTCTTATGTACTTTTAGGACTCCTTTCGTTTTAGGAATGCTAAACTTTTTCAAACTTTATCTTCCTCTCAAGACAAAAATCTACAAAAAAACTTACTGACTAAATACCAAAGTATCATCTTCATTATTACCAGAGACTGGTACTTCATCTGTTAATGATGTTGATGTGGATCTGAAAAAAATGAAGCCTTTCTAAACAACCTATTCTAAAAAGAAAAACTTGTTCTTCAGTCATATTGAGTATAAAAAAATAACAAGGTGTTTCTTAAATTTCAATTTATTTTATCCTCAATCAAATATTCACTCTAAATTTAAGTACAGATGTTTTATATTGAAGATCACCGTAACTGTTAGAATAGATCAGTTCTTTTTGTATTATAACTATTTGTTAGCTGTTTTTTGTTTCCTGCCAAATTATGATGTAGCAAATCCCTTCCATATGAATTTTGTAATTGCTTATTATGCTGTTACACCAGTCCCAGATTACGTGAGCATTTGCCAAATTCTCCATGTGCCAGTGCCAAAGTCCAGTTATTTAAAGTTAGCAGTTGTCATTTGCTGTTTGTCATACTAACATTGTTAACTGATTTAGCATAAGTAAGTTAGGCTATTGGTTTTCTCTTTTGGGTTTTATTGGTCCATCTTTACCTTACCTTACAATACAGTAGAATAGGATTTTATTCTTTTTTGACATATGTTGCAAATAAATCGAAGTAGTTTGTTTTCTGATGGTGGTTATTTGTCTCACTGGTAATCTCGATAACATAAACTCCTCTTTGATAGATATTTAATTATATTTTATAAAGTAACATGCATGTGTCAATAGTACACAGATGCCCCACTCACTGTATCATTTTCTATGTTCAGTGGACCGTGAAATTGTGGTTAAAACTCTTTTTTGGCATTAAAATTAGATAGATCATATCATAGGGAACATGTGTACTAAGTTTCAAGTGATTGGACTTAAACTTCCTCAAAAACTACCTTAACCAAAAACTTTAACTTGAAGAGGGACAGACGGATGAAAGGATGCACAGACCCAAAACATAATGCCCCTAGGTGGGGCATCAAATTTACAAGAATTATATATCTTTTTAAAATGGAACATAATAATTTTTATTCTCAATGTATTTTTTTTTACCCAATATCGTGGCATATTTCTGGAGAAAAATTGGCCATTCTCTTCTTCTGTGTTTTTCGAGACAAAAAAGTGGAAAAACAATGTTTGCTAGATGAAATAAATCCATAAAAACGAGAAAATGAGGAAAAACAATTTCTACAAACTGAGGCTTCATTCTGAAACAATTCATCAATCAAATCAAAAGTATCTGAACCAAAAACTGATTTTAATTTTGAACTGAAGTCATAATTAGAACATTTCTTTCCATTGAAATTAAATTTAACAGAAATTCCAGAACTTAGGCAAAAACAGCAATCAAATTGGTTTTCCTTTGTTGGTGTGGTATCTGTATTTTCCATTCCTAAAAGAGAAGAGATGAGAAAATTGTATATTTTTTGATAATTAGAATTATCTGATCATTCTAATATAAATGTTGAGCAATAAATAGGTCTCATAACAATTGGAAATAATTAATTAAAATTATATTTTTTTTCTCATTAAAATGTAAGAGAGTTTAGAATAAAAAAAAACCCAACTGAACTAACACACAAACTGTTATATCAGATTAGATTGGATGATTATATTCAATAGAATTTGTCAATTTTATCTCATCATATGATATAGAACCAATGAAAAGAACCAAATTCAATAAGATACATTTTACTTATTAAAACTGATAAACATTGTTTACTTTAGAAATAATACAAAATACTAAGAAGTTAGTCCCTGAACAAAAAATTAGCAAGCATAATAAAACAATTTGTAAAACTACTAGTTTAATATAAAGGCAAAATATAAAATTCAATCTTTCCAAGTTAATAGAGTGTTTATAAACTGTGTAATACCAGTGACTGATTAATTACTATACATTTACCTAAGCCTATATATAAATTTGCTTTCTTATGCCATGTACCTTCACTGAAATCTTCTGTATTTGTTTCTGAAACACAAATTAAATAATGCAGCTAAATACAGCTTTTTTATTAAGTTTAAATCTTTGGTGAACATTACTAATTGTTGTGCAACTGGGTTCCCTTTTTAAATATGAATAAAATAATAGAATCCTGAAAAATGTCAGAAGAAAGTGAAAATATGTTGTCTGTCATTATAATTAATTTGTCTCATTTCCATAAAGATTTTTTGACCAAATTTTCAGAAATTGTACTGGAAGGTCACCAATCCTCGTTTTTAGGCAAGTAGGGATTTTGTTTTACATTGAGTCTATAGGAGCAACATTCTGACTTTAACAGTGACAAACAAATCTTTAGGGTAGGCTATTATTCAGACTAAAAACGTAGAGTAGGTATAGGGTCACTGGCACCCTCGGGGGGCCACTTCAATACTTAGTTGATAGGGGTGCCGCTGGGGTTCTGTAACCCCACCCTTTTCATATAATTTAGATTTTAAAAATGTATACCTTTTCATATATTGCGTAGGTAAAAATGTTACCTTTTCCCATATTGTTTGGGTTCCATGTGGTGTGTATTGTAAGAGTGGAATACCAAAGTGTCAAAAGAGAGAAAATTGGTCGATAAAAACAGCCGGGACCACCAATAAAGATGACAGATAAAGAAGTTATGGGAACTTTATTGACCTTATCATATATTTCTGATAGTTTTCCCCGACCTATTCACATATTTCCAAGTTTGAAAAGGTGACCAATTCAAGCGGCACGTCCTATCACCTTGTATATACATGTAGGAAGCCCCCCCCCCTCCCCCCCCGAGCTGGAACCACACATACATTTATCTGGCTGAAGCATTCAGATGCTCCAGGCACACAGTTATTGTCCTTTGAGTTTCTTCGTCTACAACTTAAGCCCAGAGAATGGACAGACAAGTAAAACTTGCAATTTTTTTTCATACTCCTACCAATTTTTTTCTCTAAATTTATGCACAATTATAATTATCAGTATGGAGGAGGGTGGTGAAATTACATGTAAGGCTTATCAAATTTGATTCACGAATTTTAAGGTGAAATATTGACATACAGTCAAGAAGAAAAAGGTAAAAATTCAGTTGGTCTGATACGAAGCTGTCTGGCAAACTGAATTATTGTCTATTATAATAGACCCCGTTTTAATTTCCTCAATTTTGTTTATATAAATAATGTTCATCAAAAGAAATAATGAAAAATATACATGGCCGTGTTTTACGCAACCTGATTCATGCCATCATGGTTTGATGATTGATTGATCTTTTGTCATTTTTTTTTTTGGTTTGATCAAGACAACACAACGCCAGGAATATTATCTCATGTGTAAATTTGTTATTATAATGTATTTTACATATTTTTTTTTTATTTGTAATCGATTTGTGCTTTATGTTATTGTTTTCCTTTACCATTATCACAATCTAAGCAATGTTATTGTATATGTCGCAGACGATTGTTTACGTTGTTGAATCCCGGAAGAGAGTCCTCTATGAATGAGACCCGAGAGATGCGAAGTGCTGGTTGCAGTGATGATAGTTTAGCGAAGCAACGTCACCACTGTTTCGGAGTTTTAGCGAAGCAACGTCACCACTGTTTCGGAGTTTGTATATTGGTATATGTGTAACATACTGAATATTGCGATCGGGAACCAGTCTAATTGTTTATCAGCTCATAGACATAATTTTGTCATGTGACCGTAACGTCATCAACGTTTTTCATGGTTTACTCCGGTTAAAAATGGAATTTAGAATTAAATTATAAGAAATGACTGTAATATTTTTTCTGTCTATTCGAAATAACATAAAAAATGTGGTGCACACTTTAAAATAACCCGCTACGCGGGTTATTCAGTGTGCACCACACTTTTTATGTTATTTCTTCATAGACAGAAAAAATATTGCAGTCATTCCTTAAATAACGTTTGATATTTCAACAAATATGATTACTCTACGAATCACTCGTGTTCATGTGTTTGTGCCCCTATACCCCCTTTCCCAAAAAAAAAAAGAAACAGAGAGAGAGAGAGAGAGAGAGAGAGAGAGAGAGAGAGAGAGAGAGGCGTTTGACACCAAAGGAACATCGAAACTCATTGTTCTTATTTACATCCCTCTGTTGGACAGAAAACTAGTAATTCCGGAAGCTGTACGCTTACATGCTGTTACTCTTGGTATATTGTTATTTTTCCAGTATATTCCCACATTCCGCATCGCGACGATACGCTGCAAACAGTTGGGTTACACTAATGACAGGACAATTGCCCGTATTGACCGGATGAGATATAAATAGTCAGAACTTTTTTGTTATTTGATAGATTATTTTAATATTTGAAGACCTTAGAAATATTAGACTATATTTTATGAATATTTAACAAACAAAAAGTTGATCGGACGGATTTCACGCTCACTGATGTACGCTTTACAATATTGAACTGATCGACAAAAAGTGTTACTAGTAATATCTCTTTTGTTTTACAATATTTTTTCATACAACTAGAAAATCTGCGAGATTAATAGTTATCTGATATGAAAATTTAAACTTCATAGTAAAACAAAATGTTTTTCTAAAAAAAAAGTTGACCGGACGGATTTCACATTCGCCGATGTACGCTTTGATTATACTGAAATGATCGACAAAAAGTGTTATAAATATCTCTTTTGTTTTTAAATATTTTTTTTCTTCGTGAAACTAAGAAATCTGCGAGATCAATAAATATGTTAATATAAGAAAATATAAACTTTACAGTAAATAAAAAAAGTTTTTCTACAAAAAAAGTTGAGCTGACGGATTTCGCTACAAATAATAAATACCAGATCAACAAAAAATGTTGATATTTCTCATATCTAACAATATTTTTCGGTGAAATTAATTAACCTTTAAGAAAAATAATTGTATAAATGGTATTGTATGTAAATACTAACTCAATAATAATAATAATAATAATAATAATATCTTTATTTAAAGAAAGTAACTCATTTGAATTAAACCCAATCGTAAGGTAATTCAAGACCATATCAAGACCACTTTCTGCAATTTTTTTGCCATACATTTTGTCCGTTTCGAGTAGCATTTTCATTTTTTGCACTTAAATCAAAACGTCATTTGCTTTCTCTTGCTTTAGTGAACGTCCCTTTGAGCGGGCCGCCATTTTAGAAATTTTAGAAATTAGCAACCTTTACGACGGACTCGAAACGGCGACGTCATAATACGGTCACGACACTATAGCGGCGCCGAGAGCGATGCGTATAAACAATAGTGTGATTTCCCTTTAACCGACGTCGGGAGTACGTCGTGTGTTTGCTGGGAAGAACATGGTACTTTGTTTACATTTCTAAAAATAACCACGTCAAATATGAGTCACGCATGCTGTGCATAAAAAAACAATGAACATTCATTGTTATAAATATATTTAAGTTTTGGCATCTACTTCTTTTATAAAAAATTAATAAAAATTTATTTATTTCAATTACCTAAAATCTTTAATTTTGCATATACAGAAAATAATATAGATCCGCAGATAATCATGTAACAATCTCAAACCCATATCATATGATGGACCGGCTTAGTGCCGGCCCATGACAATGACATCACTCCTTACCATTCTTATTATTGTTTTCAGGATAATCGCCTTCAAAATTGTAAAATTGAAACAGAAACTTGGACAAACTAGCTTACATATGATGTTATCCTTGTGAAAAACTATGCAGGAACTTAGAAAGGATTTGCAATTAGCAATTCAGGGGACATATATGTCTACCGAAAGCGGAAATCGTCGCTTTCACTGAGAAGATGACAAAAAATATTTATATACTGTGATATTTATTTTTATACAACGTTTTATACAATCGTGCTAATTGCAATAATTGATAATAATTTGATATATATTTTGATACGAATGAAATTAAGTATTTATATATTACATGGAATACATTGAAAATTAATGTCCTATTGTCGTACAAATAAAACTCTTTAGAGTCAGTGACGTCAAATATGTACCTCCGTTGTTATGTTATTCTAAAAGCAGTAAGCATATTTGTAGTCCAAAAAACCAAGATTAATTATCAGTACAAATGGTTCATTATAGGATTAAACACATTTTTTCTAGAGGTTATTGATGTGTAAACCGGGGCGATTAACTCACAAACTGAATAAAAGTCCGAAGGATTACCATCAAATGAACAATTGGCAGGTCGTAACTAAGGAGTTGGCCGCCATATTGACTTTCTAAAATCCATAAATGTTCGATAAATGCAACGGAATCTAAAATGAAATAGCACCTACCTCCAAAACTTCATTTTATTTAGATATTATCCGAATTGAAAGCGTACAAGTAACGAAATTATCTTTCCCTTGAAAGTTTTCATTCGTATGACGTCGTGTTTTGCCATGACGTAAACTCGCCAAATCATTCATGAAATTTCGCGGAATTTTATTTAAATTTTAATTTTATACATTTTCGAAGCTTTAGTGCATTTATTTTATTCATTTCTTGTTATAAATACATTAGAATAGAAACAACTGTTATGCATTTGTTTTTTTAATCTCAATTTGCTTAAATTCCGGGGATCCCTGCAAGCATGTGTATCGCGCATGAATAGATTACGAAAGTAGTTTCGGGAACATGGTTTATCGAAGTGTAAACCAACAGAAAAATTCTAATTGACCAATCCAATTCAAGTATTTATAGATATGCAAATCATATAAGAATTATTCATTGGTATTTGCACGATGACGAACATGGAAAATTGTCTGTAGTAACCATGTAAATATATGAGAAAGTATTTTGATACGTTTCCAGATAAATATTGCCGGAATGGCTTTGAGTGGGATCCCGTCTATGGGAACGATTCACAATGCGGGGTACTAGCTCTTTATTCACACACAAGTCGGCAGTTCATCACAATAAACATAAACAAATTGGTAAAGTCCAAATTCATTTAATAAAGTCCAAATATAAGATATCAGTATTACAAATTAGTTATTTTAAACCAAAAACAATATATATGATTGCGATGGAAAATCCGAACGCAGTTCATGTGCTCTCGTTGGAATATCCAAACGGAGTCCCTGAATATAAATTTATCTTTCTTTAAATACCAAATAAAGTTGCTATAATAACACAGTTTGTTGGGGTCATGTTGTAAACAGAAATTATATAATTAAGTGATTTAATTCATCAAAGAGAATTACGATAGGTGATCAATCCATCAATCAATTGAATTATGTGGGTATTTGATATGACCGAATAAAAGTTGCATAACGAACTTGTAAGATGTTTGCATAAGCTTAGAGTTTAAAAGGTTATTGACAAATATAAATTTATAATCTTACATGTTTCAAATGTTAACAAATATTTCGGACATTTAAAGTCATAGCGAATTTCGAGATCGTTACAATTGAATAAATAAAATATGCATGCTGCATACGAAATGTACACAATAGAAATCGATATAATAAGAGTTTGAAATAGAAAATTAAGTACCAAAATAATGTGTGACAACTATTCCCTTTTTCAAGAAAATTCGTCCCGAATTTATGAATTTGAATCATTGAATGAGTAATAGTAAAATGAAATGTTCACTAAGAGTTCAATATCGTGGATATCGTCCTTGTCTCGGGTGAAAATGTTGATGGTTGTTACTTCTTCGGCTTTATAGTGTCTGTTGTATCATTTGTATCGTGTTATTTTCCACGTAGCGATTTCATTAGTTAATCCACACTTGTCACTTTTTAGTTGTTTTATTTCTTGTTCAAGTTCATATATCTCTGTGTACTTATCACTACACTGC